CCCGCATTGGGAATTGCCTTAATCAGCTGAAGGTTTCGCCCAGGCCTCGAAGGAGCTGATATCCCCACTGTGTAGACCTCCCAAGCTAACCTGCTTGATTGCCACGAACAAAGCCCTCTGCTGGTCCATGGCTTTGTAGACCTTGGCCAGTCTCTTCCGCAAGAGCAATGCTGAGCAGCTTAACTTGGGATAAAGGTTCGTCAGCCTTAAATCTAACTCGCATTGGAGCTCTTTGAGTGGGTCTGAGTGGCACAGCCGAAGCCACCCTTGCCAATGGTGCCCCCCACGGAGTAAGGCCCAATCAGCGTTTTGGTGGTCGCAATGCCCTGGGGCTAGCGGCTCAGGGGTAACTTCTCAGAACCTGCCTAAACTGAATCCAGCAACTCCTTGGCTATGGGCCTTCATGCTTCGGCGTTCAGTTGCCGATGCCATGATGGCAGCCTCTACCGCTTGGTCTTCTGCAGTTAAGCCAAGCTGTAGGGGTTGCAGGGGTTCGGGTTGAGGGGTTTACGGCGTTTAGTGGCTTAGGCGGGTGGGTTTATGATACCTTGCACTACGGTCGGGGCGGGTGGGTGGGTGGGTGGGTGGGTGGGTGGGTGCCACGTCAGGGCTTCACAAGCTGGGCGGGGCGCTGTGATCAGTGGAGGGTTGGCTGAATGTGCCACTACAGGCTGTGAGCCGAATGAAGCACCCGTTGTCCCAAAGGATCCCCGACGAGCAGATCGATCATTGCATGCAGGCAAACTGTGACTGTGTCCCAATTATGCTACTCTCGGGCTTAACAGTCGGCTCTCAACCTCAGGCCCAAATTCGAACTGTAATGACATAGGACTGGCTCTCACCAGGGACTCGACTGCTGCCCCAAACAGGACGAAACACCCTTGTTGGCGTAAACCCAGCAGCCCTGTGCTCTTGGAAGCTCAGCCAAGGCGCTGTCCGGCAAGGTCTGCCCTCTCGCCTGCTGAGCCTGGTCATGCGGGTGGCACAGAATGGGCTCTTTGGCAGCCATGCCTCGCCTCAAAGCCTGTTCAGACCTGGATTAGAGTAATTGGAGACACCGACCCGCAGCTTTTATCCCATAGTCGGAAGAGTTGCTTGTCATCAAATTGAAACGAAAAGTTGCTTGCGAAATCGTGTGATTTTTGTCTTGTGCCGAGTGTGGGCTGCCCTTCGTCACTCAGGCCGTTACATGACCTACTGAAAGCCACTCCTACACGACAGCTCCTCCTGCATCGGATTGATGTCGTCCGCTTGCCCGTCTGCGGCATCACCTGGTCAGCGGCTGCATTTGCGCGACTTGGAGTATGACAGGTCAAGGACATGAGAAAGGACGTGCCGGCTGTTTGGAGCATCAGAATAGCCGGACAAAATCTTGCTTTGTTGCGTTCGTCGTGTGCTAGTTGCGTGGGGCAATGCCTGTGGGCGGCAACGTTTCCATTCGCGGAGTCTCCTCCTTTGCGGTCACGGGCGGTGGCTCCTGTCTGGCTGAAATCCAGCGCCAGCGACATGCAACAAGCATCAACAATTCCCGATGCTGGAAACAAGTGGTGTCTGGTGACTAGTCTGAATATGCCTGTGTAGAGGTTCGGGTGTGATGCGTATCTGGATATGTCTGGATCCAAGATAGCCTCCCCCACATGCAGCTACTACATAGCGATTCTGTCACAGCTAACCCCCGTTGAACGTCCTCTGCAGCCTTTGCCTCATCAAGTCCAGCTGCCTGCGCGCGAGTGCATCTGTGAAATGGACTTCGGCAAGACAGTGAGTGAGTGGCCTGAGTGTTGGGCACCGCAGCTGTCTGTGAAGAATCCTCGCCTCAGGAAGCACTGAAACTCACGACTGGGGGATCAGTCGGCAGCATTCTTAGTACGACCAAGCAGCCATCTACCGGCGGGACCATCGGCAGCACTACTGCGCCCTGCATGCCGGACAAACTCTCGACGTCATGAATATGCCGCAATATGCCATACTGCGACTTCCTGACTCAAAGTGTCCTGTTTCTCCTCGGCTGGGAACACCGCCGCTGCTTCGCGTGCTGTCGCTCCCGAGCCTGAGCTGCAATATCATAGCTGGAAGTGCTACATGTCGTTAGGGCGCTCGCCTCAAGTGCGTGGGCACGCACGGTAGCCACTAGCTGCAGCACGGATGCGATCGGATGCGGGATCCTCTGGCAGATCCTGTCAGCAACTAGGCATGCGCACAGATGCTGTTTGGCTGCTACCCGTGACCCCTTGCCCAGAGCTGATCACAAAGAGTCTCGACGACTAAGCGACGTGCCCACTGCTCGGGTGGGGACGGAAGCTGGATGTCTATGCCTGGGTCACCTGACCGGCGGCGAGCATGAACAAGTTTATATATCTGCGTCCGGACTTGCTAGGGCACTTTAGTCCTATTTCGCGATGCGGCGAACCTGCATAACAAGATGCTTTTGCCGTGAAGTACCGCTACGATGACTTTGTTGCGAGAGTTTGGGTCTTACGTCAGCGACGGTATGACAGTGACTATGACTAAGATGCGCCTAGCAACTTCGAGGCAGCCCTAACCTCCTTTTGTGATGGGCTTTGACACCCAAACTGCACCTCACGCTCAGGGCCGTTCGTGCCCTATAGAACCCTCAACCTGGCAAGGAAGCCGGTAGAACACGTATGCCTTATTCATCCTTGTTCTGATTTTGATCCTTTTCGACGCCGCGTGTGGGACGTTGGATGGGAGCCAGTGCTGCAAAGGTGCCCCAGGGCTCTTCTGGCACATCGTTCGCTGACACGGGTTCCTGCACCACATACAACAGGCATGCAACATCCAGTAAGAAACAGCATGTACAGCCACTCTCCCGAGCCCACACCCCACCCAGCAATCACCTAGCGCGTCACTATACTTGATACATCCAAAGAAAGAATGTCGGACTCTCAGGCAGACCCCAGAGGCCTGGTCACTCAGCTTCTCTTTTGAAGCTTCACCTGGGCGTACAAGAAGGCGCTGTGTATTATATGGCATTGCGCGACAGAGCCTTTGAGCTCCTTAGACGCCCATGGCTGGAACACTCGTTTTTCTGTAGCTGCTAGTCGAGCTGCCGGAGCCTCCTACACTGTCCTACACGTGCGTAGTTGTATGCTTCTTCTGGACAGCTCTGGGTCACGAAAGCCGGCGGATGATAGTAGCACCACCCGCCTCCAGCTGGCGAGGTGGCTTCAGCATGCCCAGGTGACTCCTGCGATGCTAAGTTACCACTGCAGGTACATCACGAACTTGGCTCTTGCTCAGCTACAGACACTTCTTTGTTCAGAGTCATGTCTGTCTGACTGTCTAACGAAACATGTTGTGTATACATAAAGTACTTCATTCGTCATCTCGATTTCTCCTTCCAAGTCACATATCTGGCAGCTTCGCTTATTCGTTTCATCGCATTGTTCCTGAGACTCATTCTGTCAGTTATCTCAGGTGCACTTGACCGAATCTTCCAAGAAGGAAAAGTTCTTCATTCTATCAGGTGTCTCAAGTGTGTTTTTTCTATCGAATATTCCAAGAAGGAGACATAATACATCTAAGACTGGACATGGGAAATCCTACAGGGATGTGAATCTATAGGCACGTTGTGCAAAATGACTATGCGAGTTTGGCGAAATAGTATGGAATAGGTGAGATGAACGATCAGATGTGAAACAACGCAAGACAAATGTGGAAGATGCGACATGAGACATGAGGTGAGGTGTTCTGACGCCTTGCTTGAATCAACTTCTCAGCGGTTTCGCATGGCAGATGCTGAGACAAAGCATCGAGCGACATCTGTTTCGTTTAGGCCCGAACTGTACGCCTTCTTCAACTTTACCGGCGTGGGCATGATGTGCGATCAATCCGCCCAAGCGGGGTGGTGCGGGACTAGGTCTTGACAACGATCCTCACAATGAAACTAAAGCGTTTCAGTGCCAACAGAAAGAGGGGCCACAACTGCTGAACGCTTGAGGGCGAAGGGTACGGCAGTCGTCCGATGGCCCAGCTACTGGTACCATGTTGCAATGCACATGCAACCAAGCATGTTTGATTTGGCTTGCGCAGTACACCTCCGGCGCAAGGATAGTTTTCAGCCCGTTGGCGGGGCGAGGCTTCGCCCTTGTCAGAAATAGGCATGGCCATCTACTTGCGCCCACTCGTCTCACCTTTCATAAAATCATGGGCATGAGATCTGGGAGATGGGAAGACAGTCGCGACAGCAGAGATTAGAGGAAATACACAATAAATGAATTCGAAAGGAGAGACCTGGCCTCCTTCTTGAAAAGGAGATGCGGCAGAACATGGGCAGCTCTGATACACAATGAAGGACATGCGCATTCAAGCACGAAACATATGAGTAGAGCAATAAGAATTCACAAAAGCGACGTGATGTAGATGAGACAAGATGTTCTGCTAGATGAAAAAACTAAAGAGGTAGATTGTATGGTTTGTTCACTTTACTCCGGAAAAGGAGAGAAGGGCAATACGGGTTCAGGGCGTGGCACGCCAGGTGTCAATAACGTGCCGTCCGAGTCGGAGCCACTTGTTATCATTAGCAACACTTTTCCTTTCACCGCCAATTCAGCTGCAAGTGTGCTGTTGACGACACTCCTTTGCCAGAGACCTCCTCAGGTCCTTGCCCTAAGCCTAAGTGACAAAGTGCATGTGCCGGTCCATGCACTTCAGGCGACGGCCGTGCCCATGAACGCCAGCTGCGCATGTGACATGGTAGCCTGCTGCCCTGAAGTAGGTGCTTACCGTGATGTTCGATACAGTAGAATGAGGATGCGATCTGGGATATCGAGGGGCCTGTCATGACTTTCGTGTCGTCAAGCTTACGGCTTATGATGCTTGAGAACTGTCCTGGGGACTCCAATCGTTTGGGCTCAATTGTACAACGGCTTCGTGGAGCCTGATGCTGCGTGGACACGTACCGCCGCCCCAAGAAAGGTGTCAGACTGTCAGAGGCTTAGCTCCAACTGCAGCAAGCCGGAAGTCTCCAGGGCCCGCACCCGAAAATGCCGGATGACCTGAATCTTAGCTTTAAGCAACATGAGCTGCTCCGTGATGTTGCCCTGAAAGCCCTTGGCAGGCTGTTGCAACTGCCTTTCAAAGCCCAAACCGCCCTGCAAGATCCTGATAGTTGCCAAGGAGCCGGTGCCAGAAAAGGGTCGGCAGCCCACTCCTGCGGGGACTAAACGGTCTGGGGGCCACGGGCTGAGGCCCCAAGTGATACTGAAAAGTTTGCTCGCTTGTTTGGCCGTGCCTTTCCTTCCGGGCTGCCCTGAATGACAAGACTTGCGCGCGAAAGATGCTCACATCAAGATGGCATGCCCGGAACGACAGGGAACTAACAACTAGTAGTGCTGAGTGCTGAGCAAGGGAAATTCTGACACCTGCAGCTTACGCTACGATGGACGTTGGTGGCAAGGGGCAGCAAGCAGACATTCCAATCCTTTCACGTTGAGGCGAAAAGGGACACTGTCCTATGAGGAGGCGTTGCAACCTAAGAGTTGTAAGTGACGGCATTCTTAACTATTGGTCGGTTTTCCGACATCTTCCGGCCGGCTGCGAGTCGGGGGGCAGCGGGTTCTGGCGCGATGCTCACCCTGGGACGGGAAGACTCGTGGACTTCAATAAACCTACTTTTCTGTTTGGGGGGGCTCTCATCGCGTGATGTAGGATTGCCGTACGGCAGCCGTCAAGCGACTCGCAGAAGAGTTTGCTAAGCGACCGTCAGTCCTGCTGCGTCAGAGGTCGGCCCATAGCATCCTCGAGACAAGGCACTCTCACTCATCGGACAAGCTGTCAGGCGAGCTTATGCGGTTTCGACTCTTACACTCGCACAGGGCCGGCAAGGCATCGGTTGGTAAGTCTGCGATCTGTTGTGTGGTTTAGGGCAAAACCGAGGGGGGGGGGGGGGGCATTCGGGCGCTTTTGGGGCCTCAGAAGGCAAAAGGGGAGAACAAGTCTTCTCGCTTAGGAGCCAGGAAGCTTAGGTGGGTTTGGGTTGGCATCCGAACTGCCGGCATTCTGTTGCAACATGCGGGCGCTGAGCATACTATGCTGCACCTCGTGCTGGACTGCTAAGTAATGCTTATCACGCGGTGGCTTGCGATGCCATTGTTGGTGCCTGCAGATACGCCAGATACACACATGAAGCGATATGAAGCGTTTTGCATGTCAGAGGTGGATAGAGCTACCATTGACCTTATGACATATCATGCTTGGCCTGCGTCTGCACCGGGCGCTTCCATGGGGACAGACCAGCGACCACCGAGCGGAAGCACAAAGTCCTTGCGATGTGAGACAATACCTATTCAAACGGTCACCTTGATCTGGAACTCGTTTTCAAAAAACTCACGCCGCCGACAAGGCATCTGAATCGCGAAGCGCTTCGTTCAAACGCATCGATTGGACTCCTTCTCATCAGGACCCGTTCACAAAGTCTCTTTGACTCTTTGAAAGGAAGGGCCGAGCTTGCTGGCACGGTCGGACTGCCTTCGCGCGCCTATTGAGACACTTTGTTCGGAATAGACGCGGGCAAGACAACCACAGCTCCGAAAAATGCCACATGGCCGCAAGAACCGCGCAATTGGAAGGACCTTCTTTGGACCCCGACTCTGGTTCCTGCAGTCCTGGCTCCAGGGAGCCTCTCCTGAGAGCGAAGTGACGGCAACGCGCATTTTGTGAGTGCAGCAAGCCAACCTCTCTGTGACGAAGTGTGGCATCTTGAGTCGTTGTTGCCTATTCCTGACGAAGTTGACGAACGGCGTCTCCTGGACGTTCCCCTTCTCCAACGGCGCCCAGTCCGAGAGCAGCGGCCACAACTGGCTGGTGAATTTTGCCTGGTAGGCAGCATGTTGAAACTGACTTGGCACGTGGAGGCGCTTTTGCTGTGGGGGGAGATGCAACATATGGTGGTCGGAGCAACGCTAGATCATGAATGCATGATGCAGATTCGGCACGCAGGAGCTGGAGATGTCTTGGAGGCAGCCCAGAGAGTTTGGCACAAAGCGCATGCAGAACTCCTCAGAATAGCAAAGACAAAGCAGTTCCTGCGCACAAACTGGCACATTACAAAAGCAAGGCATCCTGCCAGACCTCCTGAGTGCATCCGTCTGGTTCAGCCCACGATCAAGAAGAACAACTCAACCCTGAACCGAAGCTCCAGGCTTTCTGCTCCAACTCAGCGTCGATCGCATCCCCCTGGAGTTCCAGGGAGCAGGCGTCCAAGAAGAAGACCAGTCGCTTTCCAGAAGCTTCCTGAGTTAAGCAAGGAGATGCGAGTGTGCAACCTAGGATGCTCAGGTGCTGGGCTGTGAAGAATCTGGATGGTCCTGGGTGGATTTATTGGCTAGGATCTCCACAGGGGGATGTGTCTTCCGGCAAAAGTTGCGCATTTCTTCTGAGCATGATCGGTGTCCGTTTACCTAGGCTGGACATGCTGGACTGGAGGCTGCAGAAAGGTGCAGCAACACCAGATCTTGACCAAGTATGGCCGAATGAAAAGCTTCAGGCTTTGAAGGCTCTTCACTCTGCCACAGAGGCTCGAAGAGATCCTCGTGAGACATGATCAGGGCGTACAAGGCCAGGGAAGTCCTCAGGTCTCACTGGGGGGGATGCTGAGAAGCCCTCAGCTATCCTCAGCTGGAGCCGCAGGGAGACGATCTCACTATGCCAGTCACTATGCAGCTGTGGCACTCCACAGCATGGTGCCCCCAGTTGTGCGCTGCATGCCTGGTGCTTTTCAACAGGCCGCATCAAAAGAGCTGCAGCTGGAGAGGGTTGAGCCCGAAGGTGTGACCGAGCCTCATTGCCAGGTAGACGGGCACGTCCACCCAGGTCGCCTCGGAATTGCGCGCCTCGCGGCTGAGGGTTGCAGCAGATTTTGGGGCTGTTGGCTTTTGAGGAATTGTTTGTGCCACCAGTGCCACCTAGCCAAAGCACAGCGCTCCGGAAAAGCTTTATGAAGATTCTCCACAAGGGGAGATGAAATGCCGAGTTAGGGATGGCAGAATCTTGCACACAGCACCTGAGTCACGTTTGTATGATGAGGCCTGGGGTCTGTGTCTGCTGTCTTCAAGCCTGTGAATCCTTTGAAAAACTCCTTAAACTAAACGGCCGTCGCAAACTGACCTTGCGGACAGTTGGATGCCAGGCTGTACGAACATCGCTGAACATCGACAGTCCCACCATGAGCTCGTCACCTTGGGCAGTTTCAGTGTCGCAGAGGCAGAGTTGCTGTTTTCGGCTCAAGATCTTCGCTGCCACACTAGTGTATGTGCTCTAAGGCCAATCATCTGGCGAGATGCTGGGTATGTCTGCGTCGCTGTAGAATTCGAAGGTTTGACTGCCGATGTCATAGCACCTCAATTTGAGAGTCTAGCTTAAGAGGCCGTGCTCCAGGCAAATATTCGGCCATTGATCTGCAGGTATGGCGTGTCGGCACGATGAGAACCCATGAGGACATGAGTCAGGCATTCAACATGGCATGCCACAAGTGGCAAGGGCTGAGGTTCTGCATCGTCATGCGCAATTTCGGGTCTGCACGCGTATGCAAGAACACCACACAACGTGTTGATGGCTCGTTAACTTCCACATTGCCGACATCTTACATGGAGCCGTGAAAGGGCAGGAGCAACTCGGCAAGCCAGGGTCATTGGCCCTCCCTTACAGACTGCCTGGCACATGAAGAAGTGCCCAGCGGTGATATTCAGCGGTAACTTCTGCAACATGCTTTCAAGGCTACAGCGAGGCTCTGTGAGACTTGCTGCGGAGTCTGCACATGAACGCGGCTCAGGCACAGCCCTTCGAAGCGGCAGCTCCGCTTGTCCCACTCGCTTCCCCAGGGGCCCTGCAGGTATTTTGTTTGGATTCACTAGTGAACATGTCAGGCGTCCCCAGTTGCTTGCCAGCCAACAGACCCTGCACACTGAAATTCAGAAGGCTCTCACCTGGAACGGCGTGGGGTTGCAGAAAGCTCGAGAAGTCTGCGGTGCAGGAGCCGGACGCAAAGCAGGCAACTCGGGTGGCTCTATCTGGCCTTGGAGCTCAGGTCATACACATATGATCAAATATGTATGCGTATACTAAATATGCTCAATCACAAGCCCGACCCTGCGCCCTTTCTGATAACTCTGCAACGCATGGGCTTCGTCAGTCGTCCGGCATGGATCTGCATGTGGTGAACCCTTCTATTTGACCGCTGAGACCCTCCGAGCGACCCTGACCCTCCTGAACCCTTTGAGCCCCAAAACCCCTCCAAACCACCCAGACCGAGCGCGTGGGATCGTATGGGGCATGGGGTACCTACGCGGCCATACAAGACCAGTGACCTTCGGGCTGGCAACGCATGGGGAAGAGCTTGGCCGTCCAAGCATAGGCCCGATGGAGAGTGGGACCTGGCAGGTGCGAAGATCACAGCCAAGGCAATGGGCTTTACCATCTTTAGGCGCTTTCTGCCGGGCCCGGGTTCTGAGAACGTCCACAAGCTTCAGAAATTGTGCGCGGCTAGCTCTGCTTTCGCATTGAAGCTCCGCGAAAGGCCACGGCAGCGGCGGGTGCTGTTCCTACAGGCTTGCGGGCTTCCGTTCCCAACGCCACTTCCACGTCACCCCACCCGGCCTAGATCGATCCAGTGCTGTTGCGAAACCTGGCGCTGTGAAGGTTGCTTATGGTGGCTTCCAAACATGCTAGAAAAGATATACCTGTAGTGGAAGCAACCCTCTTTCGGATAAGGGGATGGCAAGGCAAGTTGAACATGCCGACCAGCTCATGATCAACTTGAAGATCCTTTTAGTGTTCTAAGCTTCGCAAGGGGGCCACTCAGCCACAGAAGTACAGCCAAAATGCACACAAACAGTGCTTTGGCTTCATGTGAATGTGAAGCACATGGACACCTAGGGACATGCGAGCTCCATCTGCCCAAAACAGCTCCCGAATTTACAGCCACTTAGCGTATTCAAACCTGATGCTAAAGTTCGCGTTTTTGCTTGTGGCTGATGCGTCTGTCTTTGCTGCACAGTTCTAGCTTCTTTTTGGGGCTCTTGCATGTGTCCGATTTACCGGTCAGAAATGAGATCAAATCAACCGGTGCCATTTGCAGCCTCATATCAACACCAAGCCCAAGACGGCCTCTGCCAGGTAGGAGGAATGTTCCTTCGGGAGCTCAGCCGTCCGGCAGGTGGAACAATTGCCTCGGACTGTGGCGCAGGAGATTCGAGTATGGATCGAAAGGAACAGGGATGCACCAGTACATAGATATCAGTATATTTGATGGAGAAAACAAGGCAGCATGGAGGCAGAACCAGATCACTCCTTCTCAACTCAGGCATACCAAAACAGGCTTTCCCAGCAAGCCTGGCCAAGGGAATCGCCCCCTTTTCTGTCCAAAGAAAGCAAGAGAAGAACCGCTGAAATGACATCATGTCTGCCATTTTTGGGGGACTGATGTTGGGACCTGAGCCGGGATCCGGATCCAGGTGTGCGGTCCGGAGTCCAGCAGCCCCGTAAAATGATCGGTTACGTGTTCGTGATGTTTCTTGGACTTGGGATACATGTTTTTCTGGTATTCCTTGCTTTTCGAGCCTTCGTCCCTTGACTCGCGGGCATGGTCCACTTCAAAGCTAAAGGCTTATCGTACTCACTGCTGCCGGGGTAACGGTGCAGAATCCGCAGCCCCACACCAGCAAAGGCCAGAATGTCGCCGCGCCAAACCAGGAGCTCCTACATGGGCCCTTCACAAAATGAGCACACGGACAAAGGCACCGCTGCACAGAGTCAAGCATACATTCGTCACAACAACAACATCCGGATACACACGCCCTAACCGTAACATCATCTCAAACGGCTCCGAATCCTGAGATACCATTTCAACAGCTCCCACCGGGGTGGTGGGCTATCTCATCAACGCGCTTCCTTTCAGCCTCCTATCATCTGGCATCTTGGCCCTGCACCGCTGCGCTAGCATAAAACTTTCCCAATAACCGACCTTCAATAAGAATGCCCCAGTCATCCCCCGCTACCTGCTTTGCGGAGGCTGCTTCGCCGAGCAGCACCTCATGTGGCTCAGGAAGTTGTTGGGGATTTAAGAGTTGTATGGCCTCTGTCTTTTGAACATTCATTGTGCAGATTGCTGCCTCAAGCTTTTGACATTGACTACAATCCACGCCTTCCCAGACAATGCTCTGTTCAGCGAGGCGGCAGGTTGAGCGCTCACAAATTGGACAGGCGAGGCATCGCAGTCAACAGATCTGCAATGACTACTTCACGCATCAGCACATCGGGCGGGGGCCCCAAACCACCAACAAACTCAAATAGACTACCCGCTGAATTTGTTTGGAGCCCGCGTGAAGATAGCTACCACTGTTGGACTGTTCACCTCTCCAGCTGCTGACTCCATCAACAGCAGTCACGGTGAAACCTCTCAGAATCCATCCCTGTGACATCATGGGGTCCAGAGGGGGCTAAGGCGGCTGAATCCGCCTAGTGCCGCGTACGACCGCATGCAAACGACAACCTAAGTTACCACACATGCTGCTGGGCAGCAGGCACATTCAAGCAAAAATGTCGAGTGCAAATGGGAGTCGCGCTTGTTCTTGGCGGAACCGCCGGCGCGCTGCCCAAACAAAGTGAAAGTCTTCGTTGTTATGATTACATACATGTATCTACGCATTTGAAATCCTAGCTGCTAGCAGAAAGGCGACAGGTGCTGCCTCAGTTTGTCCTCGTTTGTGCCGTGCCAGGTGGCAAGTAACTCACCCCCGCGTCTGAAGAGAAACCAGCTTGGAGATCCTGTGACCTTGAACTCCTCCTGCACGAGCTTCATAGCACCGATAGAGCCATTTCCGACCAACTGCACAAACCGAATGTGCGAAAACTCCTCCGCCAGCCGTCGGAACTTTGGCTCAAAACTTTTGCAAGCCCTGCAATAGGTGAAGGTGATCTCTAGCAAGACCACGTCTCCGAAGCCCTCTGGGGGCACGCCATGTAGCAAATCTGACCATGCCTGTGAACTGCTTAACGTGACAATGCGAGCACTTCTCACCTCGCGCTGCCACCAGGTCACGAAGTCTTCTAATTGCACTGGCCCCTCGGAACGGAGCTCAGAGAGCAACTCTGGCATGTCACGCTGGATGTGCAGCATCTCGAGCCCTTGCTGAAACTCTTCGACCTCAAGGACTCCATCCCCATTGGTGTCGAGTCGGTCGAAGATGTCGTGAAGCTGTACGTCCGACAAGCTTTGGATGCAGTTGCCGTGCTTGAGCACCTCGCGGCTTGCAAAGCCACCCCCCCCCCCTCCCCCAAGAGCTGAGGGGCCTCTTGGAGCCCACTTCAAGCCGTTGTAAATCCGTTGTAGATAGTGAGCTGTGACTCCGGAGCACTCATGGCAGAAGCTACGAGGTAAGCTACGAGGGGGGGATCTCAGCACACTATCACTACTGCTTGATACTTTCACTCAAGGCAACGCATGATTCGAGGCGCAAGATGAGAACAACACCAAGACACAGGTTTCAATAAGGTTTCAATCGGTGCCTCGCGAAGTTCGCTGAGGATCTGGTCTGCCTCCAGCTCGACCAGCGCGCAGGTTGCAGCGCCGCGCACGAGGCAGCGCTCGCCAGGAACACCCTCAGTGACCAGGGACACCGTGCATCCATGCTCTTGCGCAGTTTGGAGAGTTTGCGGAATGCCGGACTCCAAATTCTCAAGGAGCTCCTCGTGCAGCGGCAGGATCAGCAGCTCATCGAGGTTTGGGATGGCCTGCAGGATCAGGAGTAAGTCTGAGTCCACTGCAGCAGCCCACTCGCTCCAGGCAGGGCTGTTCAGAGGCGGCGGTTCGAACTGCTTCCGTGTACAAGAGATCTCCAACATTTGGGGAGGGCACTGGCAGGTCTCCGAGTCGTTCTCCTTCGAATCTTGCTTCGGCATGAAGGAGCACCAGCGTGTGTGGCGTACTCTCCTGCCATCGTTGAAGACCACGGCGCTCAGATTCTGGCCTAAGGTGGCCACGACAATGACGTGCCCTTTCCACTCCTTGTCGTCCTCGCTGGTTTCCCATACAAGGTGGTTGTAGCCGGCGGCCGAGGTGGTGACCATTGCATGGACAGAAGAGGCTTTTCCCCTCAGTGCCTTCTCGAGAAGCTCTCCGGCACCAGCCTCCATAGCATTAAAGCAAGAGGAGTCGACCCCCAGTAGTTCGCACGCCTTCTTGGTGACGCTGCAGCCAACCGTTCCCTTCCACTTGAAATGCGAGACGAGCTCCTTGACCTGTTCTGACACCAAGCGTTTGTTGGCGTCCACATCTTCCTCGTCGAAGAGATGCTCCAGCCGAACTGGCTCCTTCTTGAAGGAGCCATCGGTTGCAGATATAGGGGCTGCGACGATGTAGCGTTCACGAAGGTCGATGCCCAAGGCCACCTGTTTCGGCAGGTCCGCAAAGGATCTGATAATTCCACGGCCTTTGCCACCCTCACTTTGCCGCGCCACATGCTTGCATCGTCGCAAGGCGATGCAGGCACCCAGGCAGGCTACTATGGACTGCTTCTTGGCATAAAGCCAAGAAATACTCTGAGGGAGTTCCGGTGCACGGACCTCTCGCTGGCGTGGCTCCCGGTGGCTTCTGAAGCCATGGCCACAGTGGCTTCCTATGCTGCAAGCCAGCATTGAAGAAACCCTGCTGCTGGGGTGGGGATGAACAAGCCGAAAGTCTCCCTGCGGCAGCTCAGGTGAACAAGGGAGTGCAAAGTACTGACCTTCGACAGGCCAAGCTCTCCCACCACGGTTCTTGCAGAACTCTGACAACTGAGAAGTGCTGAAAGAATCACCAACAAGCTCCTCAAGCTGATAAGTGCAGCTCTGCGCCAGCTCACCACGGCGCTCGAATCGCCAAGCGCCAGCATGCAGCTGCGGCCGCAGGAGGATGACGTCCAGGCGCAGACCCTGGCAGCGTTCGAGACACGAAGCCACACCCAAATTCGCAGAAGGCAGAACAGTCGTAGAAAGTTGCGATGTGCTAAAAACTGCAGGTTGTTGATGCTCACTCTCTTGAATGATGCAGGCGAGGCATTAAGTCCATCATCCGCGCAACGGGGGGGCCTAGTCGCACAACAAGCACCAGGTTGTTGTCCTTTGCCGTGCTACCGCTAGCGCGGCCAGACTACCCTCGCGGTTTTGCCCATCTTGTTCGTGTTGCTTTTGTTGCTGCTGATGCTGCTGCGTTCTGTGGTTTTGCCCATCCTCTTGTACGGGCTGGAAATAGTGTTAATAGGGAAGCTGTTACTTCGTGTACTCATAAACTGGGATGGATTGGATACTGGATACGATTGGATGTCCAAGGCAGAGTTTGGGTCTCGCTTTACGGCTTACCAAAGTCACAGCCTCATCTGCTTGCACCATGGCAGACACGTTGATGTCTGTGAGGCGGCCGTCCATGGGCATGGGGTGGTCCAAGTCCGCGAAGAAGGTGCTGGCCTCGTCGTATCCTTGGTTGGCCAAGCATACCTCTGCGAAGCACTGGGTACTCACGTTCTACCACCAGGGTGGTGTTCTCGGATGTCAGGCCGGGCTCACGTGGCCACAATGAGATGGCTTGACGTCTGACGTTGTTCTCAAGTTGGTGCCACGCTTCCGGTGAAGTTGTCAGCCTCCCCCACCTGCACACAAGAGCACTGGGACTCACAAAGGTTCACAAGGTGACTCAGAATGATTCCAAAGGTCAAGTTATGTTTGCGCAGTCTCAGTCAGAGAGTCTCTAAACTCTAAATTGGCACGCTGTGCTCTGCTCCCCTTCAGCATGGCATGCCCTGCGCCTGCACAGGCTCTGCCTCCTGGCAACTGAGGCCATGGTGTTGCAAAGGTTGAGCGGCAATCGAGGCCTCACGCTTGCAAGCCGATTTGGAACATGCCAGTATTTTCGGATCGTGGGGCAGTGAGACCCAATGGCCAATAGAAACATAACCTGTTTTCGATCCTCCTCTGAGCCCGTCAGTCGATGAAGCATGTGCCGCGCCTTGGGCCAGCGATACGTCGGCTCGAGCACCTGCCAAGTCGAAGAGCACGCCAGGTTGGCAAACAGGCCAGAGCACTACAACTGCCCGAGACTTCCCGCTTGGGCTTCGAGAATTCTTCCGCTGGAAGAAAGTACCGGAGAGACCTAACGGACCCTAAACCCTAAACCCTGTTCGACTGCAAACCGTGGACGTAACGACCGGGCCAAGGCTTCCATTCCATACTCTCTACCTTAAGAACCCCAAAACCCACCTTTTTTGTAGGTTCTTCTGATCAAGCCCCCTTATTAAAATTCTTAGTAACCTACAAAAAAGTAGGTTTTGGGTTCTTAAGGTATGGGTTTAGGGTTCAGGGTATTTGATTGAAACTCCGCCCCGTATTGCCTGGCGAAGGTCCTCAAGTTCCCGATCGGCCTGGCAAGGGGGGAAGATTTGAACAGGGTGAGGAGATAGGAAGTCAGGGTCTCTCTTTCGGCACAAGAGAAGCTAAGCACTGCCTGGTCACTACCTTCCGGCAATCCCCGACCTTCTGACTTCATTTGAGTGCCCTGGCATGACACGTGCGTGCCTGCAGCATCTTGCCGCCTCAGGTCTCAAGACGTCTCAAGTCCTCCTCCTGTTCTGTTCTTCTTCTGGGATCTGCGCTTATAGGATAGCTTCAGCCCAGACGCAGGCTCCAGACAGTAGGTCTGAGACGACGTGCTCCGTCAGGCCCGTCAGGTATCCAATCGCCCTCGGTACCGGGCTGAGGACAAAAAGGGGGGGGTATAAGGGCGTACAGGGGCAGCATACAAGGGGGGTTATAGTGGGGGGTACGTACAAGGGGCGCGCTTGAATTTGAGGAGTGTTCGGCTCAGCACCCCATTCAGCAACTTGAGCCACGAGCCTGTTGAGCAAAGACAGCCTCAGCCCTTGAAGCTGAAGCCTTTCTTAGCGCCACCCCTCCACACCATCCTTCAGCATTCAAGCTAGCCTACAGGCGACAGGCGAAATATTTCAAAAGCATCTGAGCCCGAGCGGCTGATTCGCCTTGAGGCTGGGCACAACGTCAGCCACATCTGCGATCAACCTCTCCTGCCTCGGGCACAGGCGGTCATATCTGTGACATGCCGTAAGGCATGAAATCTTAGTGGGCCAAGAAACTTCACTGCTCTTGCGTTGCGGGACATACACAGACCACGACCAAACTCCGGCCATCGAGTGCGCCAAGGCGCTTGTCTTGTGCTTCCGGCGACAGGGGGTTCTGCAGCAGAGACTGGCAGATGCGCTGCGTGATCACGATACGGCCTTGTCAGGAACTCTGAATCCCCATGCTCGCATTTACTGTCTTTGAACTGACCTCGTCTCTCGTTCCTCCGTGCTACTACTGAGGACTACAAAGCACAATATGGTTTGGAGAATGGCTGTGTCTTAACTTGACCACCGGAACGCAATGTACACGACAGCGTTGTAACGTACAAACGCATGTTGAACAAGAATCGAAAGCCGATTCACGTTTCCTCAGCCGCCCGAAGTGACTTAACACCAATAGTTGACAATGAACAACTCGAACTAGTTCGTGACTTCGTACAGACTTTGTAGACTAGTGGGTGGGGGTGCTGTGAAAGTTGGCGTCTGATTGTCACATCCAGTCATGCCGACCGTCACCTTCCCAGTTTCAAGCTCCGCATACCCTCGGCGGCCTAGAAGCGAGACTTCTGGGCAGCTTTGTGCCAGCACCGGTGCCTCGAACTCAGCTCTTCAGCTTCGTTTTGGGTCTGGGCTTTCGGGCTTGCTGTGTGCTGAGGCGGCGTGGGCTGGGGATGCCAAAGGTTCAGGGGTTCGAGATTTCGGGCTATGCCAAGCAGTGACGCAAGACCCCGCATGCCAGCAAACCTAAACAGAGTCGTACTTTGCCTGGTTTGCGATGAGCAGCTCCACGCGCGTTCCAAGGATTCCGTCCTGCAGTGATCTTGGAGTGACAGCAAGAGCTCTCGTGGTTGCGTTCTCACGTGGCTGCAGCGGCCCTGCCGATTACCACCGCCCCATGGCCTAGTGAGAGAGCCTGCATAACACAAGGCAGCGACTCTCTCCTGCATGGTCTGCTCGGTGGTCTTCGTTTCCATCCAGGCTCGCACATCCTCGAAATAGTCTCGGTAGAGATCGTCACCCATGCAGCGGATGGGATCGACCAAGACCTGCACTGTTCGTGGCGTTCATGAGCAGGTTGCACTTCCAAACCCACTTCGCAGTGATCATTGGGGGACTTGTCCAATCTGATGCAAACAAAGGCCTGTACGTCCAGCTCAGACGTTGGAGCACTTGGGAAGATGCACTCCTGAGGTTAGCGCCAGACAGAATTCAAGAAGCTGCCCATATCACATTCATCTGTCCAGATCATACTGCAGGGCAGCATGCGTTGATGCCGAGGATCTGCGGTATGCAGACGCAAGTCGGCACAGCGATGCTTGTGGTTGCGACAGCAAGACCTGGGGTCCAACGCTTCTGTCTATCAGAGTCGTTGTGTGATGGGCGAGGAGGTATCGGTGAGCGGTTAGTGTTATGCTGAGATGCTCGAGGGTGGGCTTCGCAAGTGGCCGCATTCAAAGCAGCGTGGCTGCAGCGGAGGACATTCTTTGATCACTGCAGCATGCTGGCACCCGCGACCGTCAGGGTCGCGCTTTGCGCGATCTCACTGTACGGTGACTCCAGGAAGGATGTTGAAACTGCATGGCATGCTGCTGAACGAATCTTGTCCGCATTCTTGTCTAGCAGTGCAGTTGGCGGAGCTTATCACAGTCCATTCGGTCAGCAGCAAGCTGCCCGCTTCCTTGGGGAGTCTTCTGAAGCCCAAGTTGGCACCTGCAGGGAGAATCCGTAGCCAAGCTATGCCACTGTAGTTACTGGAGAATAGAGACTAGCACAAGAGAGCTGAAGTCCTGGAACTGTAGATTCAGATAGCTATCGATGATGTTTGGGAGTATCGACTGTGACTCCGGCCCGTATGTGCACTCCAACCAGGAAGCAGCCATCGCAAGATCTCCTAGAGTCCTAGAGCGACGGAGAACTGCGCACCTTGTGCCCGCAGACCTGCTTGAGCTCTCGGTAGGCGGCCCTTGGACACTTGCAGATCGTGAGGTTCAGTCCATGCTGCGGAGCTGAGCATACTCTGCCTCACCAACGTGAAGCAACGATGACAACTTTGAAAGACCACTTGGGGAAGAGAAGAATGACCATGATTGTAAACAACGAACGGAAACTGAAGACCACGAAAGCCCAGCATTAAACTGATGGTGTAGACCCTATCAGTCGCACTGCCTGAAACGGAAATGTGCACACCCCAGCCTGCAAAAACCCAAGGTTCCCCTATACTAAACTCATCTAAACTACATGCTTCAGAACTCCTGCCCCCCCCCCCCCCCCCCCCCCCCCCCCCCCGGCCCCGGGCTGAATATGGCCAACCCTCCGAAACCTCAAGGAAAGCAACAGAGAAACCACCAACAGCTTCATCGCCAAAGTGCTGAAGTTCCTGACGTCGCGCATCGTCGATGCCCCGGTACGTAAGGATGTTCCGGGCCTCAGGTCTGCAGTCATTCTTTCGCTTTCAGTATCGAACACATTGCACAAAAAGGCTTTCCACGCACTGCGTTGCGGATGTCGGTTGCCGTTCGATTGCACACCCAGGCCTAGACCCTTTGATGTGCCCGGGCGGGGTCAGTGCTGGGACCTTCCCACAATGGGTAGAGAAGACCCGCGTATCAGCTCACGCTTGTCGCGCTAGCCGTGGTGTAGCAACTCAGCCCACATGGCTGCCCGGCCGAAACAAATCAAGGGACGCTGCGAACTCTTAGTCGGTTCAATGGCCCATCATCTCCGAGCATCTACTATGATCGTAGCACGATGAGTGGATGACGACATGGTCTACAACCTGCCTCGCAGCAAGAGAGCTCGGATGTTGTCTTTGGCTTGATACCCGGTACTGAGTCTGCACTGCTGGGGCGTTCGCGGTCATGTATGGGTGCCGGTGTGGGTGGAGTCGTGTGGGGCGGAGCTTGTGGTGTGACATATATCTTACTTGTGTAGGCTTCATTTCTTCGCACCCCTCAGAGCCTGGAATGCCATGCCAGCGGCAACTCTTATGCATCAAATTGTACACATCTTATTCATACTGTATAAAAGGTGCGTGCACATAACACCCTCCAAGGGTTGGAATGTCTTGCTGGTGGCCGTTCACTTTGACATAACCATGCCTTATGCACTCAAGAGGGGTATGCCAGACTTTGGCTTCATCATGACCTGACGGATGCGGACAATGGACTGCGTCACGTATAGGAGGAGCTTGCCGCGTGACCCCTGTCGTCCTTATGTTTTCTAGTTTCTCTTCAGCACGGTCCTTGCTTCGTACAAGAAACCGAATTCGCTGTAAAAGGTGTCTAGCAACAAAGGGCATCCAAATTCTAAACAACCCCAACACAACCCCAACACAACTCCAACTATCCATATGCTAAGGAGGGGCGGTTTCACCATCCAGCGAGCCAATCGCCTTGATATTCTCGAGGATGTGATCACAATGTACCAGGGCATCCTTCTTGTCGATCGTCCTCTTGAAAACAAGTGTGGAGGGGCTGTTCTAACCTTCGCGCCCCACTGTGTTTAGAATTGTTTAGGCACATTTTCAGAACAGAGCCCATTCTTGACTCCCACAAAGAGGGACACCTAGTTGAGCCCTTTTCACGCAAGGCCTGGCGCGCCAGTTGGTGATCACGCGATCTAGTGCCAGCATCTGCGTGGCATATCGATCTGCCTTGATTCGCTCGGTTGGCCTGAGTTGGACGATTCTGCCGGAGTAGACCCCAATATGTATGACCACCCCAAAAGCAAGCCGCATGCCAAGAAGACCAGTCTACAAGCGCCATTTTCAAATTTTCAGGAGCACCAAGCTGCCACGAGGCCATCAAACTATGCTTGGTTGATGGTTTTAATGTCGTCCGAAAATTGCGTGTTCTCCGGAGCGCACGTTGCCCCAACGAAAGCGTCCGTTCCACGGGAAGCACCGGGAAAGTCATCGATTTCGAGGCCACGCCACGCGCGCACGCGCGCGAGTGCGCGCCGCAGTGTCAACTTTCCTCACGCCCATGTCGGAACTTCATAGTGCAAGCACTGTTTGCGAAAAAACCAAACTTTGTCAGGGCTACAGCGTTCCGCCCAGCTGGCTCTTGCTGCTTTGGTTTTCTTGCGCAAGAAGAGAAAAACTTGTGGTCGCAGATAAAGAAACTCCAGGAAGAGTCGCGCTTCTCATGCTCATGCCTACGTAGGTTGTGCCATGTTGTTATCGTTTCGCCAGGAGCAGCTTCAATTAGCACGTCTTGGTGCTGTGCTATTTCTCCTTGGGCTTGGACAGGCTTGGCCTGGCCTAGGAAGAAATCGTACTTGAGAGTTGGCTGAGCCTTTTTTTTAACTCGTGAAAACGTCGTGCACAAAAGACAATGACAAGATTTGCAAAAGAACACGACTTACACATACGTACACACAGTGCTGCTGTTAGCCCGAGTCTCTTTTGCGGCTTTTCAGTTCCTGAGCTTCCAGTAACGGCGCCCGCGAGCCATGAGAAGTAGCCGCCGGCCTCTTCGTTCGCTTCGTCACCCATCTTGGGCCCCGCCCGGTCACACCTACACTAACCTACACGCACCTGCAAAGCCAGGGGCTGGTGAGCAGCAAAGGTAGCAGACGCGCGCAACCGGTGCATTGTAAACCCTAAACCCTAAACCCTAAACCCTAAACCCTAAACCCTAAACCCGGTCATCTCAGCCCGGCACACATAAGTCAACAGCTTTCCATCGAAGCATTTGTCCGTCGGCTCCTGCTGCAGCGTGCGGCTTCAGAAAACAATGCCCACCTCTCAAACATGTCGGATCATGTCGGCTTCAGGCGCCTTTCCGATTTTCGTAGGTTTTCAAATTTCAGGCGCGGAGCTGCCGGGTGCACAGGGTTTTTTTGGGTTTTTTTTTTGGATTAGGGTTTTGGGATTAAGTAGGGTGCAAGCTGTTGTGTCCTTTGTAACCTGTAGCGGGTGGGCCTTCGAGCAACATGAGCCACTCGCAAGCTTCGCAGGCTTGTTTTTGCGGCAGGTGCTCTCACATACCCCTCCCCCCCCTGTACCAACTCCTCGCAGCAGCGATCGAAGCTGAATCCCTTCTCCAGACGCGACTGGGCAAAGCAAAGGCTGTTGCCTTCCAGGGCTACCAGCGTACGTTTGCATGCGCTGAGATGGAACCGTTGCAGGGGATCCAAACGAGCAATGGGCTCAAGGTAATTGATGGTAATTGCTCAGCCTCCTGGAGCATGAGCCCACCAGGTTGGCTGAAGCACACATGTGCATTTGCTTTTCTCCTTGGAATGGTCAGAACAAGAGTCGCGTCTGCGGCATCCTCGGTAAAATACATCGCCGTCCTTCTCCCTGACTGTACTGTACACTGCCGTCCGTGCCGTCAGGAGGCATGCAGGACTGCCCTTAAGGCAGCATGCGCACCCCCTGCAATCCACAAAACAGCTGGAGGTAAACCCAGGGCACCACTTCGGTGTCGCTGACAATTTGCTTTTGCAGGAAGGCTCCAGACTATGCTTATGCAATGGTGAGCACTCTCCTTAGTCAACTTAGTTAAGTTTCAAATCTCACGACCCAGCTGACCCCGGCTCTGAGCAACCGTCAAGCTGACGAGGGCCTACGCATCATTCTTCCTTATCCTCATTATCCAGGGGTCCGGGTATGTCTGGGTGAAACGTCAACGTGAATGGCTGCCATGGCGGCCATGGTGCAACAGCTAAAAGCCTAGGGCCTAGGCTGTTTGACACTCCGAGCATCGGAAGCCTGTATCCGTCTTGGTGAAGGACCCTGTGAGCTGTACACCACAGGATGAACACAGCAAGCACTCAGGATGATAGCTGTTCTCTCCTACTTTGGCGACCGTGCCAACCACCGGCTTACCACAAACCGCGCAGGGTGGGGCCGCCGACAAGAAGCAAGCTTCACACAGCATCTTGGAGTCCTGATCCTTCTGATAGACCTGCCCAAACACTGAGGTCGTGTTCGGGCATTTTTGCAAGGGGTCGAGGGGAGTGTGGGAGTGTGGGAGTGTGGGAGGCATGTGGGTGGTGGCGTGGTGACCCTACATCCACACCTGCTGCCCCGGCTTGAAGGGAAGCTGGCAGGAGCTGCAGCAGCCCAGGTCTGGGCTCTTCAGCTCAGGCGGCTTGATCCCTCGTGCCTGTGGTCACATTCGGGACTTCATGAAAGGATTATGGGACTCACTGTGATTCACTGCACTGTTCCATCTGATTCACTTCTCCCCGCACCTTGAGGCTCCCTTCCAGGAGTGCGGCGCCCTCGAGGTCCCCGGCCTGCAAGAGTTTCCGGAGCTCCCGCAAGTCTTTGTCCACCTCATCGGTGCAGCCCCCGCAACAAATGCCGCAGTCCAGCTTGGAGAGGGCGCCGTCGATGACTTTTGAGCAGATCGTGCATTTCAGGCACTCCTGGTGGTAGGCATCGTCGCCGACCTTGGCCATGGGCCCTGAGATCAACTTGCCGCAAGCGATGCAGTGCGGAGCCACCTGGGACCAGCAGCCACTGCAAAGCACTTGCTTTTGTCCTGCGACGGTGCTCTCGTAGATGCTCTGCCCGTTCTTGAACTCCGCCCCGCAGACGCTGCATCGCTCCTGCCCTGCAGGCACCTGAGCCGCTGGAGCTGCGGGAGCCGCCGCCGCGGAGGGCTCCTTGGGCTCCCGGGACTCCCTGGGCTCCACCGCTTCCGGAAGCCTGGGCTCTTGCGCAATGTCCTTCTTGCTTGCGCCAACCCCTGAAGACGCCGCGTCTGACTCCTCCACTGCATTGAGCAGGGCTTCCAGCTCATCATCCAGGCTGGCAGCTTGCTGCACTTCGCGTGAAGGTCTCCGGGCTCGCCGCCCAGACTCGGATGGGAAAGATGGGCTTGAAGCTGGAACTTCTGTGCCGGAAACCGTGGATTTGGAGACCGATGAGACCGCAGCAGCCCGGCCAGCACCTGAAGTCGAGGGCTGCGAGCCCGAATTGGAGCGGCCACGGGATGGGCGCTTATCCAGCCCAGACAGCGGCACAGAGTCCACTGCAGCCGCAGCTTTCGGCTTCTCGAGCGTGGGCTCAAGCGGTGTACGGCTTACAGATCCTGACCTCTCGCGCCGTTCGGGCTTGCTGTCCCTGAGAGCTCGTACTTCCTCCACACCAGGAGGATGAGGGGGTCCAGAAGCCTTCGGTTCTGGAGCTCCAAATGTGCGTGGTCCCGGTGACAGAACAGTGGCAGCGGTAGACTTGAGAACGGAATGGTTTGCTTGCCGCTTCATGGCACTGACTCCTCCATGCTTTGAACCTTTGAACTTGCTGAGGGAGCCAATGCATCACGAACTCATGCTTTGACACACAGCAGTCATTTTTAATTGCCAACTCTTCCCGACTGAAACCTTTTTGAGAAATTTTACAGTGTCCCCCGGCGGCCTGAAACATCCTGAAGAAGTCTAGAGACTTGATGGGTTCGAGAAAGTGTACACAATGATTGATACGGCGCAGCAAGCTTCAATGATTGGACGCATGTTTGGGTTCTCTCATTTTGTCGGCCTGCTCCAGCTGCTGATCGGCGCACAAGCCACCTGGCCAAACTGCGCTCCTGAGGGAACAGGGGATGTTGCATGGTTTGCAGCTGACAGCCGGCCCTACAATGTCCGGCTTATTGGTTGTTGCTGAGCACCACTAGCACCGCGTTGCTTTCGCATGCCGCCAGTGTCTGGCCCTGTAAGGGCATGCGCAGACTCGATAGTTAACTCCACGGAATGCAAGAACACTTCGATAACACTTACACTACATCCTAGAGCAGGTCAACCTGCACCCCCATCTGGGTCCTCCGGTCCCTTCAGTGCGCTCTGGCCAGCCTCTCATCAGTTGAGGAAGTAGGTGGCAAGCACTAGGTAGTTCACAGAGCCATACAGAGCTACCTTTGAAAGGACAATGCGGAGCCAGTCTGAATGCAGAAGACTCCTCGAACAACGTGCGCCACCGATGTTGGAATGCAGGAGGGACCCTCAGAACCTTCTAATAATGCATCTTTTACCCAAGAGAAAGAGCCCTAGGAACGCAGTGCGTTCGAAACCTACCTCCTCAGAAGAAATACGACATGATACGAAAGGAATGCCATGAAGGTGGACATCCTAACTCGTACATCACTCCACATCCGCTTTTCCCCAAGTTCCCAGGCAACTGGGGCCTGTGTAGAAGCAAGATGTCCTGGCTGCACTTTGGACCGGGTTGTCGAATCAAGGCCTACCCTTATTTTTATCAAAAAAGGATCCCGAATCTAAGAAGCTGAGCTTCTAGGCCAAGCTGGTCCTTTCGTCTTCAAGCGCTTGAGCACGCATATGCCCGTCAGCTCTTGCTTGGATTTGGGCATCGGGCTTGGCTTTGGAGCTTAGAAACTTCAGGGTTCATGCAGAACTCGACCATTCTCAAGGAAAGATGAGCGCGCTTTTTTTGCCGAAATACGTGTTGTCGCGAGGCTATCTAAGAGGAATGGGGCCTTCATGGCAGTTACAGGGTGATTCGGCCCATTGCTCTCAGATTGCCTTTTTGTGTCAAGGCTGCAAAGGCTCGTCAAAGCGATGCAGCTGGAGAACCAGGGGCCGAACATTCCATTCCATAGGCTTCTGAGACTGACTTCTCTGTTAATGCCGTTCTCTGCAGCTGGCGTCATCGCTTGGCAGGCTATAGTCAAGGGAAGGACAGAGCCGTGCAAAGTCATCATAGACATCTCCCACATTCATCTCAAGGATTTGCAGGGGTTGAGTTGGGCTGAAATCGCAAGGTGCCATTAACAACACCGTGCCGGACTTGCGAGTGTTTTGAAGAAGGGCAAAATGGGGGCAAACGTGACACGGCACATGCCCGTTGGTGCATCTTCAAGCATTTGGTGACAGGATCGGCTCAGCAGCTGTCCTAGTTTTAGGCGCCGCTGAGAGGCTAGAAAAATCGGTGTTGGCGTGATGTGCTGACCTTCTGAGTGCCTGATCCAAGACACTTCTGTGCAAAGCTGCGTAAAAGCTGCGTAAAAGCTGTGCAAAGCTCTGCAGTACCACCTGACAAGGCACGCAGTAGTCACTTCTCAGAGCCTCTTGGCTACTTCCACTCGCGAATACGACCCTGCAGCGCGGGATTTGATAGCAACAGCAGAATACAGCGGCGTATCATAAATCTACAAGTGACAACAGTACTTCGAAAGCTTCAGCTCGTTCGTGCAGGCCATGGAGCGATGTGTATTGTTCAGTGTTCTGTGACACCTTTTCGAACAACACGAAACAAGACCCAGCTGGATGACAATACTGCCAGGTCTTGCGCTGTAACCTACAGGAAAATGCTGGTGCCACCTGCTTTTGCAGGCTTTGGCTGTACATGTAAGTAATTCTCCCAGCTCACGCATCCTGCCCGACCTTTCCACAGTTCAAGCCCGTTCGCAAGTTGATGAGATGTTGCGGAGCCCTTCTAGCAGAGGTTCGATGAAATTCTGTCAGTTCTTTCAGATCGCGGGCCTCGGGGTGGAAGTTCGCTATGCTCTTAAGGCTCTTGTCTGTTCGTCCTCAGCCTCTGCCCCAGAAGATGTTCAGAAAGGTCTCAGGGGGGAAGGGCAGGGAGAGATATTCAACTTGCACAAGCCGGGCATAGGTAGGTCTGTGTGTGAGTAAAGGGGTCCGGAACGCCCTGGAGAAAGAGATTGTCACAACACCTAGGAACGCATACTCTTTCGGTGCATGCGCGAGTGTTCGAACCAGGCCAAGAAGCGTGGCGGCTGCTATTGTGATGCGGCTTTCGCTGAGAAGCAGCCGAACAATGACTTGAAGAATCCTGGACCTCGGATGCTACAATAAGTTGCATGCGGTACTTGGAATTTGGCGAAGTGGCCGAGCCCTGCCCACCCCCCCCCCCCCATCTTCCACAAACCAGGCGGCGATTGGGCGGATTCGTTGTTGCGGAAGGCTTTCGCGGATTCGGCGACACCTGCAGTGAGGGCTGAACTTCATCAGGACTCGGGTTCGGAAGGCGCAATCTCCACCTGCTTCTGCGCAGGTGCGGCTAGCGTGCACTGGGATGGTTGCGCCATCGAAGTAGGTTTGTAGCAGCCCTTCAGGCCGATTATACTCGAGCACTCAAAACCAAACAGGATATGGCCAACGATCATCTTGACTTGACTGGGAAGCTTCCTAGACGTCGCAAAAGTCCGAAAAGCCCTTTTTGCATCCAGGCCTCTGATCCACCAGCTGTGCATACACTGCCCAAAGCCCTTAAGTTGCATCTGGTTTACGTCGACGCAAGGGCCCGAAGCCCAAGAAGCCTCAAAAACAATTAGACCGCGAACCAGCCCGCTACACTACACGCCCAGTACAGTGACGACGCGGCTTCCGTGACTCTATGGCACACCTCACCGGATGCCAAGCTCTGCCAGAAATTGCTAGGAAGGATGGGCGCCCAACACAGGAAGCACCCTAAACCCTAAACTCTAAACCCATAACCCAAACCCAACACAGGAAGCACCATGAGGAACCATTTGTTGACAATCGACGGCCTCGGAGTCAATTCCGTGGCTTCGTGTGCTCTTTATTCCTCGGAGGGCCCATGTTCGAAGGCATGCGGAATCAGAGTTTAAGGTTGGGATGTTCCCCACACTAGCAGTCTTGAATAAGGATTGTAGTAGGGGGGCACGAGAATCCCTATTGAGGACTGTTAGTAAAAGGGGGAACATCCCAAGTCTAAGGGACAGAAAGAGCACGCCCCCCCCCCCCCTCCCCCCCCAATTTTTCAGACAAAGAGGCGATCCGTGGCCGCAGCCGGCGCTGTGCTCCTCATGGAGTCAGCATGCCTGGATCGTGTCTCCTTTGCAGAGCCTCGGGTGAGACAGGAGGGGGGGGGAGGGGCCTAGGAGCCATCATCACAGCACGATTGGTTTTTCTTTTGTTTTAAGGGTTGCTTGTTTTTTCTCAGAGAACAGAGAGCCATCATCAGATGACAATTCGGAGAGACCGATGCTTCCAAGCGTCCTTGCCATCGCATCGGTGATCCCTCCTTGGCGGCAGTTTGGCACGATTCGGGCGGCGTGGACAGCCCATGCCCTTCAACTCTAAACCCGTAACCCGAATAGCATATGTGAAAGAGACCTAAATATCAGAATTTAAGCTTTTTCAATGCAGCTGGGGCTCAGCGATGGGCTCGTCGCCCGCGTGGCGGTACTGCTTGCTGCCTTGATGTGCACAGCTGGGGCACAGCACCCACATGATCAAGCCCCCACACTCTGAATTTTTGGCGGAGGCCGCGCCGCAAAACAAGAAACACTTTTTTTTCACTTCGAACATCCTCACTAAACCCTAAACCCTAAACCCTAAACCCTGACCAGAGGCTGGGCTCCCGACCCACCTCGCGCACGCGAAGCTGCGGCTCGCCACGCGTCTCGGCCTGGCAGCAGGTAAACGGCTCTTGGGCTACAGGGTTGCCTGGTGCTTTCAAAAACAGTCTCTTCTCTGCATATCCGGCTGAGCCCGCTCGAAACCTCGTATACCGCTGAACTAAGGTCTGGGTTCAGGATACAAGCTTTGGATACTCTTGACTCTTGAAGTACGAGTCAGCGACTGCCAAAAAAGGGCTTCGAAGCCTATGCATATACCAGCGAACCACGTGAGCGCGCATGTGCGTGGTTCTGCTACGAATCCCAGCCAAATATCTTTTCCCAAACTTTCATTCAGGTGTACCCTGGGGCATGATGGCTGCGAAACTGTGTGCCTGCTTGAATTGGCTGGAGGTCATGGACTCCGTCACTGAAGGCTGGGACCAATCATAGACGCCATCATTCTCATAGCCTTGAACAGGAACATCTCATGTTGCAACATCCCATGTTGCAGTGCAAACAGGGTACTCACATGTCTTCATCTGGTTATCCCATCTTCAAACCTGAGCCCCTGCTGTACATGTCCTGCGCGCCTTCCTTTGCAAAGAGCTCCTTGAAGAGGCGCCGCAGGTAGGCGTAGTCGGGTCGGTCTTCAAACCGCAACGCCTCCAGAGGCAGGCTTAGCAAACTTGGAGGGCCTGTGAGAGCTTGGTCTTCACTGCCTTGGCATAGTTCATGTAGGTGACGAAGATCACAGGGCAACCTCACCAAAAGCGACCCGGTACTCACCAAATCTGGCACATGCCAACCCATGCAGATGACTCGCTGTGCTGCCCAGGCAGCCCTTGCACAGGGACTCGACTGATGTGGACTGCTTGCACTCCATGATCTTGTTATACCTGAGTGACTGAGAATTCATCGAGCATTCTGGCCGGGCGAAGGCCTGTCTTAGCAGTCTTAGCAGCGACAGTATGCCACGACTGTTTGGGCATGCCACTCACACTCGAAGGAAGGATTTGGGTTTTCTTGGACCCTAAACCCTAACCCCTTTTTTTTGAACCCAGACTCTTTACGTCAGCTGGCCCTAAACCCTAAACCCTAAACCCTGAACCCTAAACCCTAAACCCTAAACCCTGAACCCTAAACCCTAAACCCCAAACCCTGATTTGGATCCCTGGTGCTTCTCCTCCTTGGTCGCGGCCTGGAATCCTTGCCATGGCAGCTGGCCCTTGCAGAAGTAGATCAGCACATATCCTCAGTGCTCAGATGGCTCTTTCAGGGGTCTTCGTTTACGGCTTAGGGTGTAGGGTGCCTAGTGTAGGGTTTAAAGGGCCCTGAGGCAGACCTCCTGCCCCTGCCCCTTGCACCGGTATTGACTGAGCTGGGAATGATGGCATAAAAAGTAGGAAAGGACAAGGACACCTCGCGAGTGCTGCCCCTTACTTTTCTATCACCTTCCTATGTTAACTTTGCTTGTTGTTCAATGGAGTTCGTGCGCCGATGATATCTTCGCTCCTTGTAAGTCTTTTTTTGAACCCGCGCTGTGCTACTGCCTTAGATGCTCCTTGTAACTCAAAAAACCAAACAAAAGAAGAGAACTAGAATGAATGAACAATCCGGGGTCATTGAGGCCTTTTTCCCTCATAACCTGGTTCATGTGACCCTCCCCTTTGATCTGTGTCCAAGCTTAGTGCAACCGTCTCTACCCTTGGACCGCCCAATAACACGAAAATCAGAGCCCAAGCCGCCAATTGCTTCGATGTCGTCCCTACGGCTCTGTTCGATTCCACGATGAGCATTGACCTGCAAGAGGGTTGGCACATGTTGGCAAGACGAATGGCACAAGTTCGTGCATCGTTCA